TTTCTCTAAACACTGTAGTAATACTACTAATATAAAGTTCTAAATATATAGAAAATATTCATAAAAGAAATCTAATAGAAAGAAGTATTTTTATGTACCTAAATGATCCCCAAATGCTAGCACGTCCTTGCAGAAATCTTCACTCACTCTCTTGTTCTTTGTTTTTCTTCCTGCGTCTCTCTCCCTCTCTTTCTCTATTCTACGTAACACTCCCTCCTCTATTTATCATTCTCATTTCAACCGTCCACCCCAAATTTTCTTCTCTCATTTATTATCCTTCCCCATTTTTCCTCCTCCCTCTTTAATTAACCGCGTCAACATTCTTCTTTGCCTTCAATTCACCCCAGCTTTTCCACCGACTTTGGTGGAAAAGTTGGGGTGTGTTTTTTTTGTTTTTTTTTTTTTTTTTTTTTGTTTTTATTTTAAATATTAATAAAATATTATTATTTAATAATAATAAAATATTATTTTACATTATTTAATTTATTATATATATATTTTTTTTAAGGATGTTACACCTCATGCTCTTCATTCTTATTTGTGAGTTTTTTACCTCCATTCTTTCCGTGGATTTCATAGTTTGTGGTTTGATATGATTATTTTTTTTTGTGAAAAATATGATGTTTAATCTGAGTTTAAAGAGATCTGATTTTTAGCAGATCTGAGTCTTTGATTTTATATTTATTAAATCTTAGTTGGTTCAATCTGATGGCTAAAGGTGAAGCTAAGTGACGTTATTACGATGGGAAAGAATCTATATTTACTCTATCAGAATGCTTTTAGCTGGTAAGAGACTTCCTTTGAAGCTTTGTTCTCCCGTTCCATCTTGATCAGTAGAGTTACAAAAAAATTTCAGGGCGGCTATTTATATAACTGCCATTAAAAGTCACATACCACGACGATTCTTAAACCGCCGTGAAATCCTCTACATTTTACGCCGATAGCATATAACTGCCATTTGTAGTAGTGTTTATTCTTTTATTATAGACAAATTGTCATTAACTTACCATTATCTTTTTAATGAAATTTGTCATGTTAGATTATCATAAGACACATTGCATGGTATCTTACATAGCATCTTATCTAATATAATCATTTTATAATAATTATATCATTTTTATATAAGAATTAAAATGTCATTTTATCATTTTAAAAAAAACTCTACTCCTTTTTATTCTTATATTTTTTATCAGCATAAATTTTTAAATAACAATTTTCTTCTACATTTTGCCACACAAAAATTGATATTTTAATTGATAAATGAATGTCAAAATCTTAATAAATTTATTAAGATTGTAAAATAAGATCATAACATTATAAAAATATTACCGTGAAAGTAATAAGTTGGTTTTGATAAGCATTAAATAGGGGCAAAAAAATAATGGAAGGAATTTTAGTTTTAAAATGTTAGGGGAGTTATGTAAAACTAATTTAAAGTTCAAAAAAGTTTTATAAAATTAACTTAGATAAGATACCATGTAAGATGTGAGGCGTCTTATGTTGATTTGATTTGATGTGGCAAATTTCGTTAAAAAAGATAATGATGACTTAATAGCAAGGGGTTCATAATGAAAAAAGTAAAAGATCAAGGGGTTAAATTTAAACTTTAATATGTCAGGAAGATTATATGCACTTTTTATTATTATATGACAGTATTTTTTAAATTACTTTTTTGTGAAAAAAAAATGAATATTGTCTATCAACATATATTCTCTTTATTTTTCTCTTTAAAAAGTTTAGGCATCAAACATATTTTCAAAGCTTTCAATAAATCCTATCCTGGTGACTAGTGACAAATTTTGCTAACATACTGTAATTTTCCTAAACTAAACTATCAAACTCACTCGTTCACTTGTTTTAATGAAGAAAAAAAATAACAAAAATTGTCTTATGGACTTTTAAACGGAAATAGCAAACAAGCAGGATAGACTAATTACTTTCTTTAATGCACTTCACACCAACCATCATTAATATTTTTTCCGGCCAACCATAATTAATATAAAACATGAAAATCATAACAAGTTGCATTTTTTATAAATAATAAATGAAATATAATTTCCATGAAAAAATGAAATATAATGCATAAAAATAATAAATATTCTCTATAGAAGAGAACAACAAATATTCTAAAAATTTCACGGACAACAATTAGAGGACGTTTATATTCATCTACATTATTTACATTGTGTTTTTTAATTTTATAAATTTTGATAATTTTAAATATTAAATTCATTTCTAGCCAAAGATTATTAATACAATATTAAAGATGTAGATTGAAATTTTTTTTAAAGAATATAAGATGTGGAGCACTCAAATATAAATTGAATAGCATATATAAATACATTCATATTAAAGATGAAATCCACTGTCTGCATTCACTAAAAAAGAATGGTCCAAATATTACACTCCTAATATAATTTTAGGATAATACAAATTGGAGTCTTTAACTATATTTAAAATATTATAATTATAAGTTAAATCAGAAATAAGAGGGAATTAACTTCTAACATGCTAGGAAAGAAATTATTTATGTTTCCGACAAAAAAGGAGCAAATTATTCCAATTCATTAGCTACAAGCAATTTGATTAATTTAAGCATGCACCTATTTTTTTTTTTTGCGTAAAAAAATAATAGTATAATCATACTCATCTAAACCAGTATGGTAAAGTCAAAGACAAATTACTAAAAAATAGAAAATCACATAGATTATTAATACAACATTAAAGATGTATATTGGAATTTTTTTAAAGAATATAAGATGTGGAGCACTCAAATATAAATTGAATAGCATATATAAATACATTCATATTAAAGATGAAATCCATTGTATGCATTCATTAAAAAAGAATGGTCCAAATATTACATTCCTAATATAATTTTAGGATAATACAAATTGGAGTATTTAACTATATTTAAAATATTATAATTATAAGTTAAATAAGAAATAAGAGGGAATTAACTTGTAACATGCAAGGAAAGAAATTATTTATGTTTCCGACAAAAAAAGGAGCAAATTATTCCAATTCATTAGTTACAAGCAATTTGATTAATTTAAGCATGCACCTATTTTGTTTTTTTTTTTGTTTTTTGCGTAAAAAATAATAGTATAATCATACTCATCTAAACCAGTCTGGCAAAGTCAAAGACAAATTACTAAAAAATAGAAAATCACATAAAAATCTAACAGAGACAACATCTATACATGGAAACTTACTAAGGGGTCATGAATGTTGCAATCTTCAACTCAATAAATCAACTTCTTAGACAACATAAAAAATAATATAAAAGCATAAGAAAATCACAAGCATGCATGTGTGTGTCAATTAGGGTTCCACCCAATTTCAGTTTGAGAGAGTAAAAATTAAAGGTGACTTAGGGCTTGCTTGTTTTCTTGTTTTAAAAACAGAAAAACAAAGAGACTTGTTAATTTGTTTTTAGTTGATTGTCTTAAAAAATAAAAAAACAGTAATATGTTTTTAAAAACTAAAAAGCCAAAACAATTTTTACATGTTTTTTTTGTTTTTGTGTTTTTTTTTTAAATTTTGAGAAATTTTCTTGTCTTTTCACTTATTATCTACTACTTATCACTACCAATGACAAATATCACTTGCCAAGTATGATTTTTTATTATTTTTGTTTCAAACGTGATTTTTTTAAAATTATTATCCAAACAAATTTTTTTTAGTTTTCAAAAATTATTCTAAAAAATAATTTTATAAAATTGTTTTGAGAATAAGAAAACAAAAAACAGAAGTAAACAGGTCCTTAATTTTTTTTTTTTCATAGAAGGTTTGTCTCTTAAGAGTTTGGATTTTCTAAGAGAGCAGGTTTGTCTGTCAAATAATCATTGAATATTTTACCAAAAAGAATAATTATTGAATAACTTTTTGACCATGTTGCTAACAAATTAGTCAGTTTCATGCATTGCAAACAAGATTTGAAATGAATCAAGATAAATGTAACGCAGGAAGTACGCACCTTGTTATTCTTTTGCTGGTACGAATCCCCTGAGAAAGGAAATCTGAACCCTTAAAAATAACTCCCATGTTTGGTGTTTTTTTGGGTCAGTTCTATGTTTGATTAAAAGCTGAAAAGGAAAAGGTCAATTATTATTGAAAACAATGATAACAAATTTGATATTTCAGACTACAAAATCTATAAGTTGATTATTTTTCAAATGAAAAACAGTAATAAAAGTGGGATAAAATATGACTAATTGGCCAGATTTCAAACTCTCTTTAGATAAATAAACAGTTAAACAAAAATAGTTATCTTACTCTTTGGTCCTATTTACAAGGCAGAGAGAAATTTTTTTTAATCTTATTTACAAATTTTTATTAAACTTTTAGCATGAATGTACTATTTTGTCTTTTATTTGTTATAGTATACTCATCAGATTTTATTGATAAGACACTTTTAACATGATTCACACATACCGAGAAAAATTTTAAATCACATTAACTCTTTATTAAAATATAATAAAATTCTAAATTTACTCATATTTGATATAATAAATGAAAAATAAAATAGTATATTCATTCTAAAAATTTAATAAAGTGACAATATGACCAAGAAAAACATTTTCTCTTTCTCATAAGTACGATCAGAGGAGTATATGGTTATTTTTTTCAAATGTGTATATATTAAATAGAATAAAGTTGAAAAGTTATTATACAAACGAGATTTTATAATTAACACCAGAAGTAATGTATTTTAATAGAGTTAAAGTAGTTTAGGTTCTTTTTGGTTTTTATAAAATATACTGAAAATGTCTTATAAGTAAGGTTAGAGGAATTATTGATAATCAGATTACAAGTAACGATTCTGCAAAGTATAATTTAATTTTAAAAAATTAAAAATCAAAATTTTTCTCTCAAGGAAAAATCAAATTTACTGCGCTTTAAATATATCTCGAAATTACTGAGAGTACTATGAAACAAGGAAATCTTCGGTGTTCATGTCCAGCAAACACAAGGTCGTTTTGCTTGGCAAAGTATTACTCATTCTGCTTTTGGTGCTTACGTTTCCTTCCCTTTCACAGATAAATAGCTTGCCTTGCTCATGTTTTATGTTATCATTCATTCTTTGATTGCGTGCATCTTTCTTCCCACCTTCTTCACTCTTGTATCCGTGTTTTTCACTTCCTTAAACTTACCATATCAAGTTTTGAATTTGCGGGTACAACCCCGTTTTTAATTAAACATGTTCATGCTTGTCGAGCTTCATCTGATTCTGCTTCCATTGATTTGAAATCGGGGCTCATGGTAAATAGCTTGTTTTGATTTTCTTGGTTTTTATTGTTGGTGGGACTTTCGAAGCATTCTTCTTTACATGGGTTCCATCAGAGGGATCAAGAAGAGGAAGAAGGCCGAAGGTAAGGATGAACACGATGCTTCAGAAACTCCATTGCAGTTTCTTCAACCCCAGCCCTTGGATTGGTGGCAACAGTTTTCCCAGAGAATTACAGGTATCCGCGATACACAATACTTCTAGTTAAATGTTCTTTCCCATTAGATTTTGTGGGATTTATACATTGATACTATTTCTTCTGTGCATTACTCTCGTTTTGTTTGGGGTGGGGTATTAGTTGAAATTTGAAGCTTAAAGTGGTTTGTATGAGTTGGGTCAAATGAACATCTCAACTACCACAGGGATTGGTCGATTTGACATTTCGTCTATATATTTTTATAACTAAACTTAGGTGAGCAAGCGATGCTAAGAAAATGTTCAAATGTCATATTTTTAATGAAAAACGTTATGGCAAACATTTAGAAAATTGAGTTTTCTCTTTATTCTTTTTTATGGTTGTAGTGTTACTTCAGGGAATGGATCATCGATTATGTTCAGAGATATGGCTCACTGTGCTTTATCATTGTAATCTTTCGTGAATGAAGTTGCTGAGTGATTGATATTGTGGGTGGTGTCTGATATTTCTCTGCACTTGCTATGTGTTGTATGCTATGAGTTAGTAGTTTATCCGTTTCATGTCATGAAATGTGAGTATAGAAGCTTGTATTTGTTTGTTGAACTTGTTTCTTTTTTTTTTTTTTTTGACATTGTACTGATGCTGCACTTGATGAACATACTTCTTGGTTTGCTGCTTTAACCTGATTATGTTTGTACTCAGAAGAAACTGATTTATCAAATCAGGAACACTGTCCATATGGAAATAATCTTCTTCATATATATCTCCTTGACAGTGTTTTAGTTTATTAACTTAATCTTACTCATTGTGAATGTGCCTGCTGTAAGTTACTACTTGCACTGATCCAACTTCTCTCTGTCCAAGCATTTCAAGGCAATTGATTCCAGTTGTTGCATCAAATTGGTTTTTATTATCTTTTTTTGCTACTTTGAATATTAAAATTCCTTTCTTTGTGCAAATTATTTTGTATGATAAATTGTACTCTTTTCAACTTTGACTTTCATTGATTTAACACCACCTTATGTCATGAAACTGGTTAAAGAAAACTCAGAATGAATTCCCACCTCTGACTATAGTTTGTCTCAGAATCTTGCTTTCTATCTCTCTCTAACTTCTACTTTCAAGGAATCATATGGGTTGACTAGTCACCTGAAGTGTGAGCAACGGGGATTGGGTAACTGAATTTCCTGATTACAGATAAATTTACAAGATTGTATTCAGCACAATACCTCAAAACTTCTTATTTTTGTGTTAAAAGGAACCATCTTGCCTTGTTTTTATTCTTTCTATATTTCTGAAGTGGGAAGATCAAACAAAAGGAGGACCTTGCTCTTGTTTTAGGGTGTAAATTCATATAATATAAAATATTGTCTTCAACGTCTGAGTCTTGATTTATAGAGAGATATATAGGGAAAGCTTCAATGGACATAAAAGTTCCTCCAATGAATTTGGTCCAAAAATTATTGGAAAATGTTACTCTTCTGGTCTTAAATGTAAGACCCATTTTGTATTGTAAATTTACACTACAAATGGATCTTAAGTTTAGGACTGGGAGGGTATATCTTAATAATTCAAATTGTATTTAACTTCCATATGAGACTTTAAACCTGCATTTGCACTCTTAGTTCTTCTTGAAAGGGATTTAATCATTTTAGATCTGCTATATCCTCCAAAAGAAATTGCTGCTATAACTAATGGAGTCCCACCTTTGTCCGTCATCACAATATGTATTTCCATTTGTTTCGTTTATCTGTCATCACAAGAGAATACAAGGCCCTTGACTACTTCAGGATATTTACGGAAAACTTTTTGAGTCTGTTGCATTGTCTAATTTTTGAGTCTGTTGATCCAACCATTACCTGCGACCTAGTTTCTCTTCCTCTGGTAAGGCATCTTAAGGAGAAAGAGAAGAGAGCTGATGTATGATTACTTTCAGCCAAAATTCATAGTAATGTGATGTCTCCCTGTGATTCAGCTAAAGCTGCGGAAGAAAATCAAAATACTTCTGCCCCAGAATGGTAGGGAGAAAAAGATAATGAGCTTAAAAGCTGAAGAAATCTAAAAAGAACGAAAACAAAATTGCAAAGAGATGCCTTTGCCAATTTTCCCCGGCACTGACAAGGCATTGCTTTTTTTAAATTATTCAGCGTTATTGGGACTTTGCTGTATATAAGAGACTTTCGAATGGTGAGATATTTGTGCTTTTTCACCTGTTTCGGTATCTTGGTGTCACTATTACTTGTACACTAACTTTGCACAGACCCATCATTATTATTTCTTCATGGATGCTTTTGAGTAGTTTGTCTAGCAGAAGAGAAGGACATTATTTACCCGTCTGTTTCATAACTGTGCGTGAGATGAACTAACTCATTTAAAGAAACTGCGTGTCTAACTTTTTGTTGGTTTTAGTCAGTTGTGATGCAGCAACATATCCCATCATTTGTTATGTTTTCAATATGTTCTTTTGTCTGTGATATTTGAGAGTCATGATCAAGATTTTCCAGTAGATATACGCTCATGCTTCAATTTTTCTACTTTTAGGACCTTTATCTCAATCAAAAAATATAGAAAAATTTGAGTCTGTTTTCAAGATCTCGAGAAAGACGTTCAACTACATATGTTCTCTTGTGGAAGAAGATATGAGGGCCAGATCTTCAAATTTCATGGATATAAATGGCAACCATTTGTGTCTGAATGACCAAGTAGCTGTTGCTCTTAGGAGGCTTAGCTCTGGTGAGTCATTGTCAACCATTGGTGACTCATTTGGAATGAACCAATCTACAGTTTCCCAAATCACATGGCGATTTGTAGAATCCATGGAAGAACGAGGGCTTCGCCATCTTACTTGGCCTTCAACTGAACAAGAAATGGAAGAGATAATGACAAAGTTTGAGAGGATAGAGGGCCTTCCTAATTGTTGTGGTGCAATTGACATCACACACATAATGATGACTTTGCCTTCAACGGACTCTTTGAATGACGTATGGCTGGACCGTGAGAAGAACTGCAGTATGATATTGCAAGCAATTGTAGATCCTGATATGAGATTCCGTGACATAATTGCGGGTTGGCCAGGAAGTCTGAGTGATGACCTTGTGCTACGAAGCTCATCTTTCTTCAAACTCACTGAAGAAGGAAAGAGGTTGAACGGTTCTAAGAAGACACTCCCAGATGGAACAATATTGGCTGAGTACCTGATTGGGGACACTGGTTTTCCCCTTTTACCGTGGCTTCTCACTCCTTACAAAGGGAAAAGCCTGTTACCTGACCAGGCTGAGTTTAACAAACGGCTTGGTGCAACCCGAATGGTAGCCAGGCGAGCACTGGCAAGGTTGAAAGACATGTGGAAAATAATTCATGGTGTCATGTGGAAGCCTGATAAGCACAAATTGCCAAGGATAATTCTTGTTTGCTGTATCCTGCATAATATAGTCATTGACATGGAGGATAACGTACATGGCGATACACCCTCGTGCCAGCAGCATGATTCAGGATATCGAGAACAAACCTGTGAATTCGTAGACAATACCGCTTCTCTTTTGAGGGAAAAGCTTTCTCTGTACTTATCCAGCAAATTGCCAGCTTGACATGACATGAGGATTGTTGAACCCAATGGTGGGTGTTGCAAAAAGCTGAAGGAGTTGAACACAAATTTTAATGCTGCTTCTTTTTGTTCCAGTGTTGTTTTTAACTTGTCCATGAAAGGATTGAACAGATAAACATTTATATTGAAGGCTGTTAGTTTGATTGCTGTCATTGCTTTGGAAGTATTGTGGTCCTTGGGTTGGGATAGCTTTTGCCTAGAGTTTTCAATTACTGCTTTTCACGTGGCTGTTTTTTTCCTTTTGCGTTCATGGAAATTCCAACACTTGTATCCATAGAGTTTTCCGGTATAAAAAAGTTTAGGTAAGTTGGGTCTTGGGGGCTTACTAGGGGTCTGAGTATGCCTTCAGGTTTAGAAAGTGTTTATAAAAGGACTTACAGAATGTTTAATAGAAGGTCCTTATATCAGTAGCGGGATTCAAACCACGATCTTATGGATTATGAATTGATTTCTTATTAACTGGATCAATTCTTGTTGGCTATCCATAGAAATTTTGATTGAACTGATATTTGAGCAAACTGGATTAATTTAGTCAAGCTAGTGATGTAACAAGCTATGCCAATATGCAATTAGCTAAACTGAAAACCCAAGACTTTTTTTTTAGGGGGATTTTATTATTAAAAGTCTGCTTTAGAATTTTAACATTATTTTAGTTTTGGGTTTGGCTTGAAATGGATTTTCTATGCTATTGCCTTTGTCAAATAGCATCCAAACTAAGACATTTAATTTTTTTTTATTTTAACAAATTTAATTGGTATGTCAAATGAACAAAGTATAAAATAAAAAGTCTTTTTGATTGCCATTTTTTTTTCTAAAAAATCTGATTGAGAATAAGAATAAATAAAATCATATTGAGCTGGTGTAGTGACAAAATAATATTTAACATTAGATGTTGAGAGAAAGGACGTGATTTCGAACCACAAGTAGCAACTTTATAAAGGTAGAACTGGAATGGAGTGTTTAAATCATAAAATCAGCTAGGAAATAGTCCAGGGTGTGAGGGAGCATGAATTTCTGCCTATTTTCCTCCCTATTTTAATTTAAATTTGATGAGCTGACATGAATGGAATAATACATTTTTATTAAGGATTAAGTTTGGAAGGATAAAATTAAGTAATAAAATATTTTGCTTTCCTCACATGTATGATAGTTGGCATGTAATGTGTCCCATTAGGTATCACTTCTATTGAATGAAGGGGACACCTAAGAGAGGTAGGTGGCAAGAATCAAGAAGATAAGGGACACATGGCAAAAGAGATTAAATGAATTGCCAAGATCATGCCACACATACAAGATCAAGGGCTATGATTTAAGCAAATCTTTATAAATATCTCCCCTTCCCGTTTAGGCCAAGATTTTGGCCAACATAAGAGAAAAAGGGGATGAGAGGCTGAATTCACTAATAGAGAAGGAAGAAAAAGAAGGTCATGAGGTTCCATGCAAGAGCAAGCTCCAAGACAAGATATACTTATGGTTTTTGATGTAGTTTTCCTTATTACTTATCTTATTATGTTTGGTTATAGTTTTGATGGGTTTTGGAAGTTTGAAACCCTAAGGAAACATGTTGCACAAAATTGACAGGGTTAAGAGAAGATGATATTGATGATAGAATAATATTTAAAGGCTTGAAAGAAATAAGAATCAAATGATTTTGAGATAATTTGTGAAAGATTTTATAATTGTGTACTTAGGGTTATATTTTCATCTAGGGCTAGTTCTTGAGGCTAGGGTTGGACTTTAATGATTTTGATACTTCCAATGAGTTTAGAATGAAAAATTGCGTAGGGTACAAGTAAGGAAATAAGTTTGGAAGTATTAGAATTGAAAATAGAAATTTTAAACCCTATAACCCTTACCTCTTGTCCTTGTGTGTTTATAAGGAAGGAGTTGGACTTTGATTATTTTGAGCTTAGAACTAGATTCTACATAAAAAATTATGTAGGAATAGTATGTGAGATTAATTTTAGAAAGATTAAAAATAAAGCTTAAAAGTTAAGGCTAAACTACATTCAAGAAAGAGTTAAGGATGGAAGGTGTTTGATGTCATGACTCCATTAAGCATATGGCATTATGTGTTGATGCATTTAGGGTCATGAGTGTTGGAAATTGTGCCCTAAGGGCCAATCATTGTGTTATAAACATTGTTAATTTATGAATTTCTTAATTATGTTATCATATTATTTGCATGTTTATTGTGATGACTATCCTTGGATAACTAATGATTTTATCCTAAATGTCCATGATCGGTCATCTATGTGGGAGCAGAGATGAAATAAGACCAGTATGACTTTGAAGATGTATGAGATATAAATCAAAGTCATAGGCACATGTAAGAGTAGAAGGTGTTGGACTGACCCGCTATGAGAGAGCTGCATGGGTTAAGTCATAAGCTTCTCTCATATACAAACCATGTCACTGTGCCCTTTGACCTGAGATCATCATGGATTCCTACATGAGAAACGCTTAGCTTTGACCTAGTCAAAAGTCACTTTTGACCGAGTGATCATAAAGACTATGTTCAGGCTTAGTGGTTTTTCATATGGAGGAATGTGAATGATCAAGATGGAATTTGTCCTTCACATTCATAGAGAGACATTACCGAGCCCCTCGATGAGTGAGTCTGAGAAATGTATGGCCATACTATAATGAAAAGGTAGTTCCACTTCTATACTCAGACTACCCAGGGATCGAGAAAGTAACGGTCAGGAATAGGAGGATGACGTTCTCCATGCCTCATCCATGACCGAAATGTCGTGTGACAAAAAGGACGTGATATGGTTGTATGAAAGGTTGCATCGTTCATCGATCCTCATATGATTTGGGTAGTCATGATGTCTTGCTAGAGACCGCTTATGACTTGTGAGTCATTATAGTAAATGGCCCACTGCCAACTTCATATGGGCCTACAGGGTCGCACACAAAATAGCCCAACATGAGCTATGATGTCCAGATTCATTGAATCTAAGATATGTCCAGATTCAATGAATAATCTAGGGTGGACGTGTGTGTATATATATATATAATATCTCAAATTTGATTTATTAGAATAAATCAAACATAATTCTATCATATCTTTAATTGTGAATTAAATGAATAGGTGAATTAAATCTGTAGGATGGATTTAATATAAAAACCGTATTTATTTAATTAATTTCTTATCAGATTACGCAATATGTGATATTGTATTAATTTAGGATTAATTCCGAAATCCAATATCCTTAGCGTCCTATATATTTGATATTAGGAGCTAGGGTTTTGGGCGTGTGAGAGTGCAAAACGTTTGCAGATAAGAAACGGCCAATAGAGAGACGGTGAGGACAAATTCTCAAAAACCCTAGAAGGACAAGAGGCGCTAGCACGTCGTTCGTGATTGGAACGCTGTTCGTATGGATACCGATAGAGGAAGTCGATCTGAGTCGTCGACTTCTCACGATCAAAGAAGAGCATAGGCATCCCGAACATCGGAATCCCCGAGCCACCATCGATTCGAATACCGCAGGTAACACCTCCTACCACTTGACTTAAACACAATCGGTAGATCCGGGCAAGGAATTGAAAAAAAATTTAAAGTTAATTTCCGCTGCATGTCTTTCAATTCCTAACAATGAGATATCAAGAAAAATAAATGAAATGATTGTCCAAGCAATCTTAATGGTTGGAAGCAAACGAAGCTAAAGAGAACAAGAGAAAGCTTAATGTTACAAGGTAGTGAATTTACATTTCTTGGTGCTTGATGTGCATGCTTGTGTTTTGATATGCATTATGTTATTTGATGATGATATGAGGTACAAATATGTCATATCCCCAAAATTTTATTTGGAAATAGAAAGTTAAAAACATGAATAAGGTCCAGTATAGAAAGTACACAGAGGGATAAAACAACTTTTGATGTGAAACCCTAATAGGGTCTAGGTTGGCAATTTTAAAACTATCTGTCTAGGAAGGGCAAAACAGAAAAATTTGAGCAAATTTCCTAGAAAATGGTAAGAGGATAAATTAGAGGTTTTGGAACCTCGATGGAGGCCCTAAAAGTGAAATTGATGTGAAAATATATTATTATCGAGTTTCCTGAAAACAGAGGTTTTTTGGGAAAATTGTGGAGAATTAGAAGAAAATAATTATTTTAAATATTTAGGGGCCTCAATAATTTTAGAAAAAATATGGAATAATTATCTAAATATTTGATTAAATTTATAAAATTGGTTTGAGGCCTTGGAAGTATAGAAAATTATTTTTGGAAATTTATTTCCCACAGTTTTATCAATAAAGGCCTAATCGGGAAAAATTCAAAATAAATAGTTAGAGGTGAAAAAAAATTCTAAAAATTTTAGATCATATTCTTATATTATAAGAGGACTTTTCATGAAGAAAAATGTGACTTTGGAGATCTATAAAAATGATAAAAAGTTACAAGTGAATAATAACTAATAAAACTTCAAAATGGTTTAGGATGGAAATCTAAATTGTAAGCCATCTTTTTGGGCCATCCTAGGCCATAAATGCACCTCACATTGGGCCAGAAAAGAGCCTAAAATTGTACTGAAACATCCTTCTTTTAACCCCTTAGAGTACGCGTTTAGAAGAGTTACGGTTCAAGCGATTCATGAAACAAGCTCATAAATCGAAAATTTGTAATTTGTTCTTGGGTATTGTTCATTCGTTAAATTTCAGATTTTTGGTCCAAATTTGAAAAATAATAAATAATTATAGAAATATCGTATTGAGGTGGTTCAAAATTCTATTTGAAGTTCTTTCAATTTTCCATAGGAAAAAATATAAAATTGGACTAAACCCTTGGAAATTCATACATTTTATTCATTGAAGTTTACTATTCATTTGGTCAAAACTGTACGTTCCAATTTCTCTGCCCTAACTTTGATCAAACATAACTCTTAGCAGACACATCCATTTTAAGTGATCTACTACTTGTTTTAAAGCCCAAGATGTGTACTTTATCCATACCAAATTTCATAGGCAGAATAATCATTTACCTCACCTCCACTTTGTCACTAACTCGTGACTCCTTTATGGATGCTTCATCTCCCTAACTTACATTAATAATTCATAATTAATTCTTTGCTTGTGTAATACCTTTCTATTCATGCATTAGCCAAGCCATTCCCATATAAAATCATAATCAATCGCACATGTCATCATCATTAT